TTTGGGGGAAACCCACTTTTTGAAATATATTAATAATATTATTAAAAATATATAATATAATATATATATATTTAAAATATATATATAATATAAAAATTTCAAAATAATTATAAAAATTTAAAATATAATAATAAATTATATATATAATAAATAATTATATTAAAAATAATATAATTATATATATAATATATAATTAAATATTTAATATAAAAATTTAATTAAATATATTTAAAATATATATAAAAATATAATATAATATATATATATATATATTATAAATATATATATAAATATATATATATATAAATATATATATTTAAAAAAAATATAATTTTATATATAAATTTAAATTATATAATTTATATATATATATATTAATTAAAAATTATATTATATAATATATAATAATATTTATATTTATATATAAATATAAATAATTTTAATAAAATTTAAAAATTTTTTTTTTAAATTAAAAATAAATATATATATTTATTTTATATTATATAAATAAATAATAATATATATATAAATAATAATAATATTTAATTAATATATATATATATATAAAATAATATATATAAAAATATATAATATATTTTAAAATATTTATATTATTATATATATATAATATTTAAATGTATAATAAAAAAAAAAAAAATAAAAAAAAAATTATTAATTTAAATTTCACCCCAACCCCCAGTTTTGCAGGGTGCCAAAAAAAGAAAAAAAACAAAAGAAAAAACCCCCCCAAAACCCCTTCCCCAAACCCCCCCTTTTAAATCACATTTACCCCCCTTTCCAGGCCAATCACATATGGGAAAAACGTTTCCCAAATCACAAATATTCCCTCCAACCCAAATCCACCCCTTTTTAAGCCCATTATCCTTTCCCCCCTTCCAACTAAGTCCGCCCCAAAAAACGTCCCCACCCCCTTTTCCACCCTTTCAAAACCCCACGTCTTCCCCCAAATTTATTCCTTTTCCCTATCACGCCCCCCTCTTAAAAAACCTCAACAACCCCTTTGCCCCGTAAAATTTTTTTCCCCCCCCCCCCCAACCCCCCCCTCCTTTTTAAAAATTTTTCCCCAACCCTTTAAAAGGAAAACCCCCCCCCCAACCGCCCCCCCTCTTACCCCCAAGTTTATATGGTGTTGGTACTACTTTTTAACATTTCCCCCTTTTTCCCCCCAAACCCTCAACCACCCCCTTTTTTCCCCTATAAAAATTTTATTAACCCCACCTTCTCCTAACCACACTCCCCCCTTCTGATATTTTTTTTTGGTTTGGGTTTTTTGTTTTTGGGGGTTTTTGGTGTTTTTTGGGGTTTTATATATATAATTTTTATAAATATTAATAAAAAATTTATTTTATATATATTAAAATTAAATTATTTTATTATTTATATTTTTAAACCCAACCCCAAAACCACACCAACCCGCAAACACCCAAACGAACCCCGAAAAAGGGGGGGGGGGAAAAAAAAAAAAAAAAAAAAAAAAAAAAAAAAAAAAAAAAATAAAAAAAAAAAAAAAAAAAAAAAACCACACACACAACACACCACACACACACCAAAAAACACCCCACACAACACACACACAACACACACACAACAAACCACAGACACACACACAACACACCCCAAAAAAAACACACACAACCAACACCAGACACACACACACACAAAACCCCAACCCCACACAACACAACAACAACACAACACAACACACAAAACCACACAAAAACAACACAAAACACCCCACAAAACACACACACAAAACACACACACAAAACCACACACACAACACACACAACACCCCCCCCCCCAAAACACACACACACACAACACACAACACACACCACACACCACAAACCCCAAAACACCACACACACCACACCACACACACACAACAAAACCACCCCCACACACACACACACACACTACACACCAACCACAACCCCAACCCACACACACCCCAAACCCCACACAACCCACACACCCCACAACACCCACACCAACCACACACACAACCCCCCCCAAAACACACCCCCACAACCCCACCCACACAAAAACACCCCACACACAAACACCCCACCACAACACACACCACACCAAACACACACACACACACAAACCCCACCACCCAAAACCACAACACACACCACCACCACAACCACTCACACACACCCCAAACAAACCCCCACACACACACAACACACACACACACCACTCTCACACACACTCACACGCACTCACACACGCATTCACACACACACACACACACACACACACACACACACACACACACACACACACACACTCACACTCTACCTGCCTATACCTACCTACCTACTCCTACCATCCGACTTTGGACCAAGTTCGGTTCCGAGAAACCGGTCGTAAGTCGAAATGGTCGTAAGTCGAACTTAACTATTGAATATCAACAAAACATTTTTGTAATTACTTTATTTTATTGTTTTATTTTGGTATTTCATGTTTTACTTTACTTTTCATGTTGTTAGTACTGTATTTTATACTGTAAGGTTTAGGATAAACACTGTGTACAACACAAATAGTTGTTTATTTCCCAGAAATTTGGCATAAAAAACACGGTCGTAAGTCGAGTGGTCGTAAGTCGGATGGTAGGTGTGTGTGTGTGTGTATATATACAGTGGACCCCCGCATAACGATTACCTCCGAATGCGACCAATTATGTAAGTGTATTTATGTAAGTGCGTTTGTACGTGTATGTTTGGGGGTCTGAAATGGACTAATCTACTTCACAATATTTCTTATGGGAATAAATTCGGTCAGTACTGGCACCTGAACATACTTATGGAGTGAAAAAATATCGTTAACCGGGGGTCCACTGTATATATATGTATGTATATATATATGTATGTATGTATATATGTATGTATGTGTATGTATATATATATATAATATATATATATATATATATATATATATATATATATATATATATATATATATACACACACACACACACACACACACACACACACAATTGTGTGTGTATGGAAATATATTTATTGGTAAGAGTGGTAAGGGAGAAAAAAATTGCACAAGAGGTTTATGCAATGTAAAAATTATTGAAGGCACAGTATATGGAGAGGAAGACAGGTTAAGAGTGGGGGGTGGGGTGGGGGGTTGCATGGGTAGAAGGAGTTCATAATGCCTACACTTGGAGGGAGGGGTGGAGATGTTACTTTTTGGAGGATATTTGTGAATGGTGATCTCAGCACTCTTCTGACAAGACAGCGATTGAACGAATGGTGAAATCAGCCACCTCCCACTTTAACTTGGTGGGAGGTGTCTGAGATTACTTATTATTTCTCTGGAAAAAATTTACTGCCACATCCTGCATTCAGTTGCTATGTATACTCCAAATACTGCATCTAATCTACAACTTGATCCTCTATTGTAATTGCATTAACGTTTCTCTGTTTTCTCTTCAATGTTTTTTCTGTTTCGTACACGAGGACTTGTCATTCCTGGAATTTCATGTAGACGAATGTTAAAAAAAATGTGTGATAGATTTTTTTAAGAATTTTTCTGCCAGTGTTTGTCCTCTTTTTAACAATTCTGTGAATGATGTTATGAAAAAAATGTGTATGATGTTTTTCTTATTTTTTTTAATGGAATATATAATTCTTTTATATATCATATTTTGTTAGTAGTAATTGAGATGTTTAAGAGAAATTTTAACTTGTAAAATGTTTGTAGGTATAGAGTTGGTGAATTTTTTTTTAATATACTATTTGTCTTTTGTGGTAAGGAAAGCCTTAGAAAAAAGCAAGGAATGTACATTGAATAAAGAGAGAGCATTGGGAGCTGTTGTATCTTTTGCTAAGATCATGTTAATCCTTAAACTGTCCAAACGTAGATCTACGTTTGCACCGCTAGTGCTCCGATCATCTGTTTTTTTTTTTTTTTTACATTTGAGAGCATTTAAAAAAAACGTAGATCTGCGTTTGGAGCACTAGCGGTGCAAACATAGATGTACGTTTGGACAGTTTAACCCTTTCAGGGTCGGCAGGCCCTCTCCTAAACTTGTTTTCAGGGTCGGAAATTTTAAAAGAAAAAGAAAAAAGGATTATTTTTTCTTACGAAATGATAGAGAAACTTTCCCTGATCATAATGACACCAAAAGTATGAAATTTTATGGAAAACTTACGGAATTATGCTCTCGTGAAATTGGCTGTCTTGACGATGTTTATGCATCAGCGATTTCACCCACTTTGAGCCCTATTTTCGGCCAATTCCAATGTACCAGTCGACAAAAATCATACCTACTTCCTAGAACTCCATTTTTTCTATCGAATGAGTACAAGAAACCACCCATTTACCGATTTCAACTATCCAATAACATGGTCAGAAATTGGGAATTTTGCCAATTTCACAAATAGGGTCCAGAATAAACAAGACACTAAAATAACATTATCTCTCTTCATTACTCATGTCCCCAGGCCTCTTGTTATATTTCTTTTGCTTTCCACTTTGAAATTTTATTCTCACAAAAATAGAAGATTTATGTTATGCAGACTACTGCATTCTAGAATACAACCATAAATAGCATACGAAAATACATTGCAAAGTTCCTGTTTTAAACCAAAAACATGGTCGGAGTTTTTTTTATTTCTCATTATGCACTGTATGCTGCAGGAGTTTTTTATAGTGCGCACACCGACCACATAGACCCATTCTTTCATATGTAGGCCTACCAGCTTTCTCTTGCTGGATTTGAAGGTGCTAGAATTTAGGCGTACTAGTAGGGCACCAACCCTGGCGTGCAAGCCGTACTAGCACAGCACCAACCTTGAAAGGGTTAAAGGTTAATAGAAGAGTTTTGAATTTTGAAATGTATATTACGTAAGATTCTACTGTTTGTGACTTATACCACAAGTATTTTTTATCTGGACGACCTGAAAAAGTACTTGAAGTGACATGCATTGTGTGATATTAATGTTTTAACTTTGCAGAGTGGACCATCTCGCCAAGACTTTGATTCTGATAGAGACCGTCACAGAAGTTTGATGAAATCTGACATGAGAGGAGGACGTGATTTTACTCGTGGTGCAGACTTGGGTGGACCTCCTGGAAATAAATATGGAAATACCTACGGTCTTTCTACAGTGTTCCTAGAATCGCTTGGGATTACTGGACCCCTAGTCAGCAAAGTTTTTGTGGCAAATGTGAGTATGGATTTCATGAACATTCTATGTCTTCTCGATCTCCTGCAAACGTATTGTGTTATGATATATTGTAGTGTATGTGCAGTGTATAGCAATGGTTTTAGTTTAACTTTCCTCTGGCCTGTTCTTGGACCAGTCCTAAATTTAGGAGGAGATATTAGATAAAAAACAATTCAGAACTAGGAGAATATAGGTAATGTATCGTGTGCAAATAGAATATTGTAAGAATAAGTTTGTTGGCAGACAGCAATCATCCATGGAGGTACTACTTTCCTATCATATACCATGATGAAATGGAAGGCTTTTAAATTCTGTGCACATTTGCAGAGTTACTGATTTTCTATTTCTGCTTTTTGAATATGCTAGATGCCAGGCAAATCTTAAAAATATATACCTGCTGTTCATCAATATTGATAAAATTTTTTATTGATGTTATGTTTCCTTTGCAAGTTCTTTCTTTTTTCTTTTTTTTTTTTTTTTTTTTGAGATTGGGTTGTGTACTTATTGATTCCCATAACCAATAACAGATCTTGAACGTTCATGGGATAAAATGAAATTGGCATCTTTGGTGCAAGACACGTTGTCATGAGGCATCTAACCAGTCACTGCTAACATTCAGTAGTTTGGATTATCAATTTCTCACTGTGTTTGAACAATTTACAGATTATTTGAACTCTCAAATTTGTGGAACTATTTTTGAGCATATCTGCTTTCTATTGATATTTTTGTATTGGGCAATAATGACAAGTATTTGTTGTTTTGAGAGTGGAACTCATTGGTTTTAAAAAAAAAAATTTAGATTAACCCTTTAACTGTCCAAACATAGATCTACGTTCTCTTGCCCAGTGCTCTGAATATTTTGGAAAAAAAAAAAAAAAGTTTTTTTAAAGAGCACATTTTTTTTTTACATAAAGTAATGTAAAAAAGAAATTTAGGACCAGTATTTACCAAAATGTAAGACCGCGAAGTTGGCACTCGATGCTCTCTTGATGGCAACATTGAGTCCTGCTGCTTGCAGAAGTGTTGCCGTTATATGCTTTTCTCGTTTTTATTTTAATTTGCATAATTTTTATTTTATTTTTGTTAACACACTGGCCGACTCCCACCAAGGCAGGGTGGCCCGAAAAAGAAAAACTTGCACCATCATTCACTCCATCACTGTCTTGCCAGAAGGGTGCTTTACACTACTATTTTTAAACTGCAACATTAACACCCCTCCTTCAGAGTGCAGGCACTGTACTTCCCATCTCCAGGACTCGAGTCCGGCCTGCCGATTTCCCTGAATCCCTTCATAAATGTTAGTTTGCTCACACTCCAACAGCACGTCAAGTATTAAAAACCATTTGTCTCCATTCACTCCTATCAAACATGCTCACGCATGCCTGCTGGAAGTCTAAGCCCCTAGCACACAAAACCTCCTTTACCCCCTCCCTCCAACCTTTCCTAGGCGGACCCCTACCCCGCCTTTATTCCACTACAGACTGATACACTCTTGAAGTCATTCTGTTTCGCTCCATTCTATCTACATGTCCGAACCACCTCAACAACCCTTCCTCAGCCCTCTGGACAGCAGTTTTGGTAATCCTGCACCTCCTCCTAACTTCCAAACTACGAATTCTCTGCATTATATTCACACCACACATTGCCCTCAGACATGACATCTCCACTGCCTAGAGCCTTCTCCTCGCTGCAACATTCATCGCCCATGCTTGACACCCATATAAGAGCGTTGGTTAAACTATACTCTCATACATTCCCCTCTTTGCCTCCAAGGACAAAGTTTTTTGTCTCCACAGACTCCTAAGTGTGCCTCTCACCCATTTTCCTCTCATCAGTTCTATGATTCACCTCATCTTTCATAGACCCATCTGCTGACGCGTCCACTCCCAGATATCTGAATACATTCACCTCCTCCATACTATCTCCCTCTAATCTGATATCCAATCTTTCATCACCTAATCTTTTTATCCTCATAACCTTACTCTTTCCTGTATTAACTTTTAATTTTCTTCTTTTACATACCCTACCAAATTCATCCACCAACCTCTGCAACTTCTCTTCAGAATCTCCCAAGAGCACAGTGTCATCAGCAAAGGGCAACTGTGACAACTCCCACTTTGTGTGATTCTTTATCTTTTAACTCCATGCCTCTTGCCAAGACCCTTGCATTTACTTCTCTTAAAACCCCATCTATAAATATATTAAACAACCATGGTGACATCACACATCCTTGTCTAAGGCTTACTTTTACTTGGAAATAATCTCCCTCTTTCCTACATACTCTAACTTGAGCCTCACTATCCTCGTAAAAACTCTTCACTGCTTTCAGTAACCTACCTCTTATACCATACACCTGCAACATCTGCCACATTGTCCCCCTATCCACCCTGTCATACGCTTTTTCCAAATCCATAAATGCCACAAAAACCTCTTTAGCCTTATCTAAATACTGTTCACTTATGTTTTTCACTGTAAACACACCCCCTACCTTTCCTAAAGCCTCCTTTTTCATCTGCTATCTTATTCTCCATCTTACTCTTAATTCTTTCAATAATAACTCTACCATACACTTTACCAGGTATACTCAACAGACTTCTCTCTCAACACACTGGCTGTATCCCACCGAGGCGAGGTGGCCCAATAGGAAAAACGAAAGTTTCTCCTTTTACATTTAGTAATATATACAGAAGGGGTTACTAGCCCCTTGCTTCCGGCATTTTAGTCGCCTCTTACAACACGCATGGCTTACGGAGGAAGAATTCTGTTCCACTTCTCCATGGAGGTAAGAGGAAATAAACAAGAACAAGAACTAGAAAGAAAATAGAAGAAAACCCTAAGGTGTGTGTTTATATATATGCTTGTACATGTATGTGTAATGTGACCTAAGTGTAAGTAGAAGTAGCAAGACGTACCTGAAATCTTGCATGTGTATGAGACAGAAAAAAAAAAGACACCAGCAATCCTACCATCGTGTAAAACGATTACAGGCTTCAGTTTTATACTCACCTGGCAGGACGATAGTACCTCCCTGGGCGGTTGCTGTCTACCAACCTACTACCTAGTACTCAACAGACATATCCCCCTATAATTTTTGCACTCTTTTTTGTCCCCTTTGCCTTTTTACAAAGGAACTATGCATGCTCTCTGCCAATCCGTAGGTACCTTACCCTTTTCCATACATTTATTAAATAATAGCACCATCCACTCTAAAACTATATCCCCACCTGCTTTTAACATTTCTATCTTTATCCCATCAATCCCAGCTGCCCTACCCCCTTTCATTTTACCTACTGCCTCACGAACTTCCCGCCCACTCACAACTGGCTCTTCCTCACTCCTACAAGATGTTATTCCTCCTTGCTCTATGCACGAAATCACAGCTTCCCTATCTTCATCAACATTTAACAATTCCTCAAAATATTACCTCCATCTTCCCAATACCTCTAACTCTCCATTTAATAACTCTCCTCTCCTATTTTTAACTTGTAAATTCATTTGTTCTCTAGGCTTCCTTAACTTTTTAATCTCACTCCAAAGCTTTTTCTTGTTTTCAACAAAATTTGTTGATAACATCTCACCCACTCTCTCATTTGCTCTCTTTTTTACATTGCTTTACCACTCTCTTAACCTCTCTCTTTTTCTCCATATACTCTTCTCTCCTTGCATCACTTATACTTTGTAAAAACTTCTCATATGCTAACTTTTTCTCCCTTACTACTCTCTTTACATCATCATTCCACCAGTCGCTCCTCTTCCCTCCCACACCCACTTTCCTGTAACCACAAACTTCTGCTGAACACTCTAACACTACATTTTTAAACCTACCCTATACCTCTTCGACCCCATTGCCTATGCTCTCATTAGCCCATCTATCCTCCAATAGCTGTTTATATCTTACCCTAACTGCCTCCTCCTTTAGTTTATAAACCACCTGTCTCTTCCCTTGTGCTTCTATTCTCCTTGTATACCATCTACCTTTTACTTTCAGTGTAGCTACAACTAAAAAGTGATCTGATATATCTGTGGCCCCTCTGTAAACATGTACATCCTGAAGTCTACTCAACAGTCTTTTATCTACCAATACATAATCCAACAAACTACTGTCGTTTTGCCCTTCATCATATCTTGTATACTTATTTATTCTTAAAATATGTATTACCTATAACTAAACCCCTTTCTATACAAAGTTCAATCTAAGGGCTCCCATTATCATTTACACCTGGCACCTCAGACTTACCTACCACACCCTCTCTGAAAGTTTCTCCTACTTTAGCATTCAGGTCCCCTACCACAATTACTCTCTCACTTGGTTCAAAGGTTCCTATACATTCACTTAATATCTCCCAAAATCTCTCTCTCTCCTCTACATTCCTCTCTTCTCCAGGTGCATACTCGCTTATTATGACCCACTTTTCGCATCCAACCTTTACTTTAATCCACATAATCCTTGAATTTACACATTTGTATTCTCTTTTCTCCTTCCATAACTGATCCTTCAACATTATTGCTACCCTTTCCTTAGCTCTAACTCTCTCAGATACTCCAGATTTAATCCCATTTATTTTCCGCCACCGAAACTCCCCTATCCCCTTCAGCTTTGTTTCGCTTAGGGCCAGGACATCCAACTTCTTTTCATTCGTAACATCTGCAATCATCTTTTTCTTGTCATCCACACTACATCCACGCACATTCAAGCATCCCAGTTTTATAAAGTTTTTCTTCTCTTTTTTAGTAAATGTTTACAGGAGAAGGGGTTACTAGCCCATTGCTCCCGGCATTTTAGTCGCCTCACACGACACGCATGGCTTACGGAGGAAAGATTCTTTTCCACTTCCCCATGGACAATAGAAGAAATAAAGAAGAACAATTTATAATAGTTCTTGTGATTTTGTAGCGAATCTTTATTCTGACGCTAATATTAGGTACTAAAGTAGTACTCAAATAATAATCATCACACTGACAGGTGAAAATTTTCACCTGCCTTGATCATTTACTATTTCCTAGAAATATATACAAAGTATTTTTAGGTCTCAGCAATGTTTTAGACATGCTGGATTATACATGAAACTTCTTGAAGCATGGTGTTTATGATGAGTTTCAGTAAACTGTTGACAGGGTAAGGAGTGGTTTGACACTTAATGATCTTGCACTGCTGCAGAGAACCCCTGGCTTTAGTTGTTTCCACTGTTCTGTCTAGCTCTGTTTGTCTTTCTATCTGCCTGTGTGTGTCAGTCTGTCAGTCTGTCTGCCTGTGTGTGCCTGTCTTTCTGTCTGCCTGTGTGTATTTGTCTTTCTGTTTGCCTGTGTGTGTGTGTCTTTGTCTACCTATCTTTGTGTGTGTGTGTGTGTCTGTGTGTGTGTGTGTGTGTGTGTGTCTGTCTGTCTGTCTGTCTGTCTGTCTGTCTGTCTTTCCGTTTGCTTGTCGTACAGAGCGGCTCATAAAACATGTATTACACATGTTGCAGTAGTCGCGTCTGATTCCTGATGAAGTGAAATGCTTATTACTTGCCACTGAGTTGCCAATCATGCTTATTATGTCTTAACAAGCACTGTATATCACTTTGTTTGGAATTTTTGGGTTATCCTAGGTAATTTATACTATGTATAGTTGTACTTAAGTGTACACGTGAGAGACAGATAGACAGAGAGATATAGACAGATATATAGACAGACAGAGATATATAGACAGATATAGACAAAGAGATATAGACAGATATAGATGGAGAGACAGCCAGTAGTATCAAAAATGAAAAAATATTGGACAAATGCTACACTTGGTTATTGTCGAGGTTTTTGATATTTCCTCACCACTTATGGCTACATCCATCACTTTCCTCTTAAAAGGGGAGTGTTAATATGACATATCAGTGAATCCCTGGTGTTTGCTATGCTATTTGCTCTAGCAAATAGCATACTAAGTGGTCCCAGATTTTTTTAATACTGCGCACACCGAGTGTTAAGACTCACTCTGTGCTGACGAGGCATGTCAGGCCAATCGTGCAAAATTTGGAGGTAGGAAAAATAAAACATAGATCTACGTTTGGAGCACTGGCAGTAAGAACGTAGATCTACGTTTGTACCGTTAAGGGGTTAATGCTTGGAATATACCATAATGTTCAATATGCTTATGATTTCATGGCACATTAATCCAAAGCAAAAGCAATGCATATTGTCATAGCTGTGTGCCTGTAGGTTATGCATCAGTTGATAATTGTTGCTATTATTGTTGCCCTACTTCCAAGCTTGCTAAAGCTTGGAGGTAGGGCCTAAGTTTCTAATACAGGCAGGTATTGCTTGGATAGCAGGTTAGGTTCTGGGCTATTGCTGTAAAGTAAAAATTTCTATCAGGTGAAATACGTATAGCCTTTTTCACTTTGAAATGCATATAAAAGCCTGATAGCATGTTTTCACTATCATATATTAAGTGAGCAATAGAGCTAGGCCTGTAAAATGCATATACTTTTGATATACCTTTGAAGAGTTTCGAGAGGTTTCTCTACTCTCTGAGTGCAGCCATGGGCCAGGCTCTTCTGGTTCTTGCCTAGTCAGCCAGGCTGTTGCTGCTGGAGGCTTGCTGCCCCACATATCCATCACAGCCTGGATGATCTGGCACCTGGTGAAGATACTTGTCCAGTTTCCTCTTGAAGGCTTCTACACTTGTTCCAGCCATGTTTCTGATATCTTCTGGTAAGATTTTGAAAGTCTAGAACCCTGAATGTTGATGCAGTGTTCCCTTATTGACCCCCACCACAGCCCTGCTCCCCACTGGGTTTATTTTACACTTCTTTCCATATCTCTCACTCCATTAAGTTATGGCAGTGTGCAGATTTGGTACCAGGCTCTCTAAGTACTTTCCAGGTATATATTATTGTGTATCTCTCTCCTCTGCTCCATTGAGTACATGTTCAAGACCTGAAGGTTTTCCCAGTAATTTAGGTGCTTCACTGGCTCAGTGTGAGCCATAAACGATCTCTGTATTTGTTCCAGCTCTGATATTTCTCCTGTTTTGAATGGGGCCGTCAGCACTGAGCAATATTCTAAGCGAGAGAGCTCGAGCGATTTGAAGAGTGTGTCACCTTTGACATTATTTCCCTTGTTTTGAAAGTTCTCAGTACCCACCCCATTATCCTCCTGGTTGTGAAATTTTTTGTCTTGTTATGGTCTTTAAAAGGAAGGTTTGCAGACATAATTATTCCCAGGCTTTTATGTGTTCCTTTCATTCTATTTGATGACCCTCTTGAGTTTTGTATATAGTGTTCCTTTTGAGTTCTTCATTCTTTCCATACCTAAGCAGCTGGAACTTATCACCATTGAACGTCATGTTGTTCTCAACTGCCCGCTGGAAAACCCTGCTTATGTCTTTCTGTACTTTTTCCATATCCTCTACTCTAGTGACTTCCATGCTTATTTTAGTGTCATCTGCAAATGATGATACAAAAGTGTGACAGGTGTTTTTATCTATGCTATGAGGATGAGAAACAGCAGAGGTAAAAAGCTCAGTACCTTGGGGCACTGAGCTTTTGACCCCGTTGATGCTGGATCTTGCCCTGTTCATTACTGCTTTTTGTGTTAGGAACCCGAAGATCCACCTGCTTACCTTCCTTTTAATGCCCATGGCCTTCATTGTGTGCACTATCACTCCCTGATCGCCTTTGTCTAACGCTTTTGCAAAATCTGTGTAAATCACACCTGCGTTTTGGTAATTCTGTCATAATGGTTCTGCAGCTGTGACAGGCATGATCGTCCTGCTCTAAAACCATGCTGGTTCGGGTTATGCTGATTGTGCTGGTCCATGAAATTTGTAATCTGCCTTCTCATCACACTTTTGAAGATATTTATGATGCTGGTGTGTAATTTTTAGCTAGTACTATACTACCTCCCTTACGTAAAGGAGCTATGTCTGCACTCTTTATGGCCTCTAGTATTTCACCTAGATGTAAGCTCTTTCTGTAAAGAATGCTGAGTGCTCGTGGTAATGGTACTTTGCACTTCTTTATGAACAAACAGCATTCCATGAATCTGGTCCAGGTGCTGAGTGAGGGAGCAATGTTGTCCACTTCTAATGTCAGTTAGTTGGTCTGCGCTGCCTTCTTGTGGAGTGAAAAATAATACTGCATTTTCTACCTTGCTGTCATTTTGTGGGTTGCTGAACACTTGACTTGTACTGTTCTTTTAGGATTTCACTTACACAGTACTCGCATTGCTTACCTTGTAATTTTTTCGTCCTTAGCTTATAGTGAGTGGTGAATGAATTTATTGTAGGAAATCTGAATAAATGAAGAATAGGTATTATTGAAAACTGCTGCATTAGTGAAATGCCATAAAGCAAAGTGCTGTAAAGCCTGGCCTGCCTGTATAATTAAATATCTGCATTGTAAAGCTCAGGCCAGTTCAAAGAGGCATTAACAAGTTACTGCATGGAAACTAATATTACAGTATCTTCAAAGTAAATTGGCAATTAAACAATCTAAAATAAATCTAAAAGTGTCTAGTATCATACACTGGCTTCTGGAGGTTTGAACCTGATCAGTCGAGACATTCTCCAATTATTGCATCTAAACTTATTTAATGAAATTGCTAAATTTAAACTTAAAATCAGTGCAAAGTTTCTTTTGTGGAAAATGCCCAAGAGACTAAAAGCTTTAAGTTGTCTTGAAGATGTTCTCCACTTTTTACACAGATACCAGTTATCCAGGTTTAGTGACTTATTCACAAATAACCCACATATAGAAGAGAGTAGCTTACGACGATGTTTCGGTCCGACTTAGACCATTTACAAAGTCACAGTGTGACTTGTAAATGGTCCAAGTCGGATCAAAACGTCGTCGTAAGCTACTCTCTTCTATATGCGGGTTATTTGTGTATCGTTCCAGTCACGGTATTGTGCCATTTTTGTTATTTAGTGACTTATTAGTAAATTAGCCTTCAGTGTTTGTGTGTACACCCTAAACTTATTGGATACCATCTTATCCTTCACCCTGTCAGGGTGATAGCCAGGGTCCAAGAATTGAAAAAAAAAAAATCTTGAAGAATTAAAAGTATTTTTCTATAGGTAATAAAACAAAAAAAAATTCTGATCAGTAGTTTCCAAGTTATAGAGGCGTGAAGTTAACCCACAATAACCGGGTGGCGACAGCATCCGCAACTTCCGTAAAGTCACATTTTTTTATTTTACTGTTTTCTTCCTTTTTTCTTTTCTAATTTTATTTTTTCCAGTAACTTCTATGGCCTGTGAGACCAATATAATGCATAATGTATATATGTACACTCGTTATATTCAACACAGTAACCACACTAATATTTTCATTATTATTTTGTTTACAGGAATTGTTTACAACAAAAAACAAGCAAAAATGTTGTATATTAGTAATGTTCTACTATATACAGTGGAACCTCTACTTACCAGTTTAATCCATTCCGTAACCTTGCTCGCATCTAGATTTACATGTTTGCAGAGTCAATTTTCCTCATTTAAATTAATTGAAATGCAATTAATCCATTCCGACTCTCTTGAGGCACGACAAGATACTTCAATATTTCGCTAATATCATCTATGCGGCATATTTATCTATCACAATTCATCTTACTATGACACAATAAACAATATCAATGAAATAGAAATCCTGTATCTACTTTAGAATGAATAAAATGTCATTACGTATGTGGCTTCGGCGGCGTCGACAGCGGCAGTGGATGAGTGTCTGGGTTCCATTGTACGATTTGGTACCATTGTACCATGGTACAATGTACCATATGGTTCAAAACCATAAAATTCCTCTTCAGATCCACTTCCATCAGTGTTAGAACTACAATTTAGGAAGAGGAGTCAGAATTCGATATTTTAAGTAATTGTTCATTAAATAATTATTTATGTATACTGTACATTTTTTTTTCAGCTTGACTACAAAGTTGATGATAAAATGTTGAAAGATGTTTTCAAGATAGCTGGCAAAGTTAGCAGTGTAGAAATCAGTAAAGATCAGGATGGAAAGAGCCGTGGATTTGGAGTTGTTGGTATGTTCTCTTCATGTTTTTTAATTATGGCTTAATAAATCATTTCTGGAAACTTGTTAATTGATTCAGTCTGTTTTCAATTTTCTATCTTTTACTTTGTTACTCTTGTGTAATAATATTTTATCATTTATATTAATTCTTAGTATTTTATACAATAAATATGTACTACAGGTCTCCCTCAACATTAGCGAGGGTAGGGGATCAAGACCCTCGCGAATGTTGAAAAATCGCGAATGTTTGGTGCCCCAATATATTGTAGCGAAATATAATACAATACCTTAACCTATTGAACCATGAACAGTCGCAAAACACATAAAAACAACGTAAAATGTACACGTGTATATACATACATGCTCCTCCCACTTGTATATTTGTCCAGTCTCTTTTTAAAGCTACACAAGGTCCTATCGAAGCTAAAACCTTGGGTAGCTTCAAATTTAGGCTGGATAAATACATGAGTGAGACGTGTTGGAATCGAGAGGGACTTGTACGTGAGTAAATAGAATTTTTTTTTTTTTAAAAGTCGGCCGTCTCCCACTGAGGAGTCCCACTCAAATCCACCCCATCTCACTTGTGTATTTATCCAACCCAAATTATAAGCTATCCAATATTTTAGCACATAAGTAATTGGAATTATCACAGCTTATTGCTTGGGTAGCATTGAAAATTGGGATGGGCAAATATTCTGCTAGTGGGATTGATATTGAAGGACCTGCTGATATTATTTATACCATTTCTACACTAATGCAGTAGTCTGCATAACAGTAAATCTTATATTTTTTGTGAGAATAAAAATTCGAAGTGGAAAGTAAAAGTATGTAAGAGGGGCGTGGGGACGTGACTAATGAAAAGAGGAAATGTTATTTTAGTGCCAGGAATGTCTTGTTAATTGGTAGACAGCAACCACCCAGGGAGGTACTACCGTCCTGCCAAGTGAGTGTAAAACGAAAGTCTGTAATTGTTTTACATGATGGTAGGATTGCTGGTGTCTTTTGTCTGTCTCATAAATATGCAAGATTACAGGTATGTCTTATTATTTCTACTTACACTTAGGTCACACTACACATACATGTACACGTTTATTTATACACACTCATCTGAGTTTTCTTTGATTTTATCTTAATAGTTCTTGGTCTTATTACTTTTCCTTTTATATCCATGGGGAAGTGGAATAAGAATCTTTCCTCTGTAAGCCATGCGTGTTGTAAAAGTCAACTAAAATGCAGGGAACAATGGGCTAGTAACCCTTTTTCCTGTAAAGATTACTAAAAAGAATAAGAAGAAAATGTCAAAGTGGGAAGTCTGAATGTGCGTGGATGTTGTACAAATGATAGGAAAGAGATAATTGTGGATGTTATGAATGAGAAGAAGCTGGATGTCCTGGCTTTAAGTGAAACAAAGCTGAAGGGGGTGGGAGAGTTTCAATGGAGAGGAATAAATGGTATTAGGTCAGGGGTTTCAAATAGTTAGAGCTAAAGAAGGAGTAGCAATAATGTTGAAGGATAAGCTATGGCAGGAAAAGAGGGATAAATAAATGTATTAATTCAAGGATTATGTGGAGTAAAATAAAGATTGGATGTGAAAAGTGGGTTATAATAAGCGTGTATGCACCTGGAGAAGAGAGAAGTGTAGAGGAGAGAGAGATTTTGGGAAATGTTGAGTGAATGCATGGGGAGTTTTGAATCAAGTGTGAGAGTAATGGTGGTTGGGGATTTCAATGCTAAAGTGGGTAAAAATGTTATGGAGGGAGTAGTAGGTAAATTTGGGGTGCCAGGGGTAAATGTAAATGGGGAGCCTTTAATTGAGCTATGTGTAGAAAAAGATTTGGTAATAAGTAATACATATTTTATGAAAGAGGATAAATAAATATACAAGGTATGATGCAGCACGTAATGAAAGTAGTTTATTAGATTATGTATTGGTGGATAAAAGGTTGATGGGTAGGCTCCAGGATGTACATGTTTATTGAGGGGCAACTGATATATCGGATCATTATTTAGTTGTAGCTACAGTTAGAGTAAGAGGTAGATGGGAAAAGAGGAAGGTGGCAACAATAAGTAAGAGGGAGGTGAAAGTGTATAAACTAGGGAGGAAGAAGTTCGGGTGAGATATAAGCGAGTATTGGCAGAAAGGTGGGCTAGTGCAAGGATGAGGTGTGGGGGGGGGGGGTTGAAGAGGGTTGGAATAGTTTTAAAAATGCAGTATTAGAATGTGGGGCAGAAGTTTGTGGTTATAGGAGGGTGGGGGCAGGAGGAAAGAGGAGTAATTTGTGGAATGATGAAGTAAAGGGTGTGATAAAAGAGAAAAAGTTAGCTTATGAGAGATTTTTACAAAGCAGAAGTGTTATAAGAAGAGCAGGGTATATGGAGAGTAAAAGAAAGGTGAAGAGAGTGGTGAGAGAGTGCAAAAGGAGAGCAGATGATAGAGTGGGAGAGGCACTGTCACAAAATTTTAATGAAAATAAGAAAAAAATTTGGAGTGAGTTAAACAAGTTAAGAGAGCCTAGGGAAAGTATGGATTTGTCAGTTAAAAACAGAGTAGGGGAGTTAGTAGATGGGGAGATGGAGGTATTAGGCAGATGGCAAGAATATTTTGAGGAACTTTTAAATGTTGAGGAAGAAAGAGAGGCAGTAATTTCATGCACTGGTCAGGGAGGTATACCATCTTTTAGGAGTGAAGAAGAGCAGAATGTAAGTGTGGGGGAGGTACGCGAGGCATTACGTAGAATGAAAGGGGGTAAAGCGGTAAAGCAGTTGGAACTGATGGGATCATGACAGAATTGTTAAAAGCAGGGGGGGATATAGTGTTGGAGTGGTTGGTACTTTCGTTTAATAAATGTATGAAAGAGGAGAAAGTACCTAGGGATTGGCGGAGAGCATGTATAGTCCCTTTATATAAAGGGAAAGGGGACAAAAGAGATTGTAAAAATTATAGAGAAATAAGTTTACTGAGTATACCAGGAAAAGTGGACGGTAGGGTTATAATTGAAAGAATTAGAGGTAAGACAGAATGTAGGATGGCAGATGAGCAAGGAGGTTTCAGTTGGTAGGGGATGTGTAGATCAAGTGTTTACATTGAAGCATATATGTGAACAGTATTTAGATAAAGGTAGGGAAGTTTTTATTGCATTTATGGATTTAGAAAAGGCATATGATAGAGTGGATAGAGGAGCAATGTGGCAGATGTTGCAAGTTTATGGAATAGGTGGTAAGTTACTAAATGCTGTAAAGAGCTTTTATGAGGATAGTGAGGCTCAGGTTAGGGTGTGTAGAAGAGAGGGAGAATACTTCCCGGTAAAAGTAGGTCTTAGACAGGGATGTGTAATGTCACCATGGTTGTTTAATATATTTATAGATGGGGTTGTAAAAGAAGTAAATGCTAGGGTGTTCGGGAGAGGGGTGGGATTAAATTTTGATTAATCAAATTCAAACTGGGAATTGACACAGTTACTTTTTGCTGATGATACTGTGCTTATGGGAGATTCTAAAGAAAAATTGCAAGGGTTAGTGGATGAGTTTGGGAATGAGCATAAAGGTAGAAAGTTGAAAGTGAACATAGAAAAGAGTAAGGTGATGAGGGTATCAAATGATTTAGATAAAGAAAAATTGGATATCAAATTGGGGAGGAGGAGTATGGAAGAAGTGAATGTTTTCAGATACTTGGGAGTTGACGTGTCGGCGGATGGATTTATGAAGGATGAGGTTAATCATAGAATTGATGAGGGAAAAAAGGTGAGTGGTGCATTGAGGTATATGTGGAGTCAAAAAACGTTATCTATGGAGGCAAAGAAGGGAATGTATGAAAGTATAGTAGTACCAACTTTCTTATATGGGTGTGAAGCTTGGGTGGTAAATGCAGCAGCGAGGAGACGGTTGGAGGCAGTGGAGATGTCCTGTTTAAGGGCAATGTGTGGTGTAAATATTATGCAGAAAATTCGGAGTGTGGAAATTAGGAAAAGGTGTGAAGTTAATAAAAGTATTAGTCAGAGGGCAGAAGAGGGGTTGTTGAGGTGGTTTGGTCATTTACAGAGAATGGATCAAAGTAGAATGACATGAAAAGCATATAAATCTATAGGGGAAGGAAGGCGGGGTAGGGGTCATCCTCGAAAGGGTTGGAGAGAGGGGGTAAAGGAGGTTTTGTGGGCGAGGGGGCTTGGACTTCCAGCAAGCGTGCATGAGCGTGTTACATAGGACTGAATGGAGACGAATGGTACTTGGGACCTGACGATCTGTTGGAGTGTGAGCAGGGTAATATTTAGTGAAGGGATTCAGGGAAACCGGTTATTTTCATATAGTTGGACTTGAGTCCTGGAAATGGGAAGTACAATGCCTGCACTTTAAAGGAGGGGTTTGGGATATTGGCAGTTTGGAGGGATATGTTGTATATCTTCATATGTATATGCATCTAAACTGTTGTATTCTGAGCACCTCTGCAAAAACAGTGATAATGTGTGAGTGTGGTAAACGTGTTGAGTGATGATGAAAGTATTTTCTTTTTGGGGATTTTCTTTATTTTTTTGGTCACCCTGCCACGGTGGGAGACGGCCGACTTGTTGAAAAAAAAAAAGAGAAAAAAAAATTATTACAATATTGCATAACATTGAATCTTCTATTTATTGTATGAAAAATCAATATGTAACTAATGAATAGAGGAAATCTTGTAGATGAATGATTGAGAGAACTGACAAGTTGATAAATTAGACACATGTGCAACACTTGGGTATCTTAAATGAGGAAAAGTTTTGCGCCACAGTGGCTTCATCAGTCCATACAAAGGAGAATGCAGAAGAACGCGAGTAGTCTGAAGTAATCAGTATCACAACCTTCAGTTGATGTGATCAGTCCATCAGTCTTGAAAAGAATACATGGACATATGGATCCTTAGGCAAGTGAAGAATTCCTTGTTTTAAGATCCATGTGTCTAATTTATCAACTTGTCAGTTCTCTGAACCATTCATCTACATTCCTGTCAGACACAGCACCTTGGGATCTGAATCCTGGGAATTCTTCACTTGCCTAAACTTTAGGCATGACCTACTTTCACATTTGGATTTGTCAAATGTGATACCACCTATGACTGCTGCACCTCACCTGCCTACAGTATATAAGCCACTTAATTGCACATATGCTGTATTCTTTTCAAGATTGATATACTGATCACATCGACTCAAGGCTGATTACTACTACTGTCCTTCATCATTCTTCTTTGTATATACTATTGAAGCCACTGTGTGACGAAACATATCCTCATTAACCCTTTCAGGGTCCACAGGCCCTCTCAGAGACTTGTTCTCAGGGTCCCAAAATTTAAAAAAAAAAAAAAAAAATATTATGAAAAGATAGAGAATCTTTTCCCAATCATAATGACACCGAAAGTGTGAAATTTGATGGAAAACTTAGGGAATTATGCTCTCGCAAAGTTAGCGGTCTCAACAATGTTTGTGCATCGGCGATTTTGCCCACTTTGAGCCCTATTTTCGGCCAATTTCAATGTACTAGCCGACAAAAATTATAAAAAATTTGCTAGAACTCCATTTTTTCTATCAAATGAGTACAAGAAACCACCAATTTACCGATTTCAACTATCCAATACGGTGGTCAGAATTTAGCATTTTGCCAATTTCACACAAATTTCAAAAGATGCCAATTTCCAAATAGGGTTCAGAAAAAGAAGAAAGACATTCCTGGCACTAAAATAAAATTTCCTCCGTTCATTAGTCATGTGCCCAGGATCCTCTTACATTTCTTTTGCTTTCCACTTTGAATTTTTATTCTCACAAAAAATAGAAGATTTACTGTTATGCAGACTACTGCATTAGTGTAGAAATGGTATAAATAATATCGGCGCACTTGTGAAAGAATATTAGACTCGCCAGTTGATGTGTATTGGACGCTAAGCATGATTTGTTTACTTTTGAACTTTGGTAAAAATCGAACATTTCTGCTACTTGGAGCTCAATTTCAAGGTACTTTTCATGGTAAAACCAGTCAAAATCATCTCAATTTCTGTGATATGTCTTCCATTCTATACAATGAGACCAGGTAAACTAGAATACAACAATAAATACCATACGAAAATATAGTGCAAAGTCGCTGTTTTAATCCAGAAACACAGTTGAGTTTTTTTTTCTCTCTCATTATGCACTGTGTGCTGCAGGATTTTTTTTATACTGTGCACACTGACCACATAGACACATTTTCATATGATATGTAGGCCTACTAGCTTTCTCTCACTAGATTTGAAGGCGCTAGAATTTAGGCGTACTAGTACGTCATGGACCCTGGTGCTTAAGCCGTACTAGTACGTCGGAAACCCTGAAAGGGTTAGATACCCAAGTGTTGCACATATATCTAATTTATCAGAGGAAATGTTCCAGTGCACGTGAATTCTTGCCTTTTTTTATTCTAAACCCTATTTTGAAATAGGAATATTTTAAAATTTGTGTGTAATTGGCTAAATTACCAATTTCTGATCACTATTGTGTAGTTGACATAGTTGATTTGGCAATTTCGTGTGTTCAGTCAATAAAATGGAAGACATATTATTGAAGTAGCTAAGAATTTGGTCGACTGGAACAATGTAATTGGCCTAAAATAGGACTCAAAGTTGACAGAATTGCTGATGTATAAATATCACTGACGTGGGAAAATTCGCAAAAGTGTAATTTTGTCAATTTTCCGTCAAATTTCTTACTTTTTATTTTATTACCTTCAGAAAAAAGTTTACTATTTCATAAGAAAAACTAACATTTTTTTTTTTTTAAATTCTTGGACAGTGTGGACAAGTTTCTGATAATGGGGTCTGGGCAGTAAAAGGGCTAAAGTAAATGATTTTTGTACAGTTTAAATATGAAAGTTATCCCCCTCTTCAGTGGCCGTCACATATAAGTAAGTCATTGAGGTTGGGGGTCCCTCATGTAGTTATACTTTATGATCTCAGCTCAGCTCACATAAACTGTAAGTAGTAAATTTTGGTTTAGATATGAGGGAATGGGTTTGCGTGGTGAGTGTGCATGGTATAAAAGAATTCTTCCACGTGTTGCATGATGGGAAAAGCAAAACTTTGTCCATATGTGTAGTTTAAAATTGCTAATTTCAGGTGTTTTCTAAGATGGTTTTAATAGTTTTATTGGCCATTTCTTGGTACCATGTGATGGAATTGAAGACATTTTATGGAAATATAAACAATTTTTGGTTAGTTTTTAAGTAGCTTGAAATTGTGCTGAAAGTTATAAAAATATTAATTTTTGTGCAATTTTTCTGAGGATACGTAAAATGCTCTACAGTTCCAGTTTGTTTTATGGGTTTTTAATAGTTCTTGATTCAGTTATTAGGACAATGTAAACCATGGCCAGTCGTTCCTGCTTACCCTTTATTGTCCAGAAATTGAGCAAATCTTCTATTTTGTGTGATTGAGTATAAAAATGGAAAGCAGGTGTAATATAGGAGATGCCTGGTGACATGATTAATGATAAGAAATGGCATTTTCATGTTATGAATTTTTACATTGTTTTGCTCTTTATTTTTAGCCCATTTAGTGTTGAGACCCTTGCTCACAAACTTTCAGTGTTGAAGAATTTAAATTTTTTTTACGAAATAATAATGAATCTTTTTCCGATGGTAAAGACACTAAAAGTATGAAAATTCATGGAAAACTTGCGGAATTATGCTTTCGGGAAGTTAGCTGTTTCAGCGATATATATGCACGGCGATTTCGCCAGTGAGCCCTATTTTCGGCCAATTCCATTGTTCCAGTCGACCAAACTCAGCTATTTCGCAAGAACTCCATTTTTTCTATCGATTGAGTACAAGAAACTGCCCATTTACTGATTTCAACTACCCATTAAAGTGGTCAGAAATTGGCAATTTGGCTAATTTCACAGAAATTTCAAAAGATGCCAATTTCAAAATAGGGTCCAGAATAAACAATGCAGACATTCCTGGCACTAAAATAACACTTTCTCTGTTCATTAGTCATGTCTCCAGGCCCCTCTTATATTAATTACTCCTGCTTTCCATTTTGAATTTTTATTCACACAAAAAATAGAAGATTTACTGTAATGCAGACTACTGCATTATTGTAATAATCGTATAAATAATGTAAACCCATTCGTGACTTCATATTAGACTAGCTAGTTGGACATGTATTGGATGGTTACGTCATTTGTTTACTCTTGCACATCAGCAAAAATCGAACATTTCTGCTACTTTGAGCTCAATTTCAAGGTATTTTTCATTGTGAAACCAATCAATATTATCTCAGTTTCTGTAATATATCTTCCATTCTGTCAGACGAGACCAAGAAAATGAGACTACAACCATAAATACTATATGAAAATACATCTCAAAGTTGGTGTTTTAAACCATAAACATAGTTTTTTTTTTCTCATGCACTGCATGCTACAGGATTTTTTTTATACTGTGCACACCTACAATGCAGACCCATTCTCTCACGTGTAGGTCTACCAGCTTCCTCCCTCTAGATTTGAAGTTGCTAGAATTTTGGGATATTAATATGGCACCAACACTGGCTTGTAAGCTGTACTAATACAACACCAACAGTGAAAGGGTTATATTGGTAGTTTTTTAATTATGTGAAAAATTGGCCAAATTACTGACTGTGCACTTTATAGGATAGTTGTAATTCTTGAATGGGTGTTTTTTGTGCTCAGTTGATAGAATGGAAGGCAAACTTGCAAAATAGCTTAGAATTTAGTCAGAGGAAATGAATCGACGTGCAGTAGGACTCAAATAGGGTGAAAATCGCCAATGTGTAATTTGCGCCCAGACCACTAACTTTATGCCTGAGTATTTCTATAAGTTTTCCACAAAATTTTGTACTTTTGGCATCATTATCTTCAGAAGAGATTCTTCCATTTCAGAAAAAAAAGTGGATCCTGTAAGGAATATTAATGTTGGGGTTCTGAACAGTGAAAGGGTTAACCACGAAATATGATGTTCTTGTATGGTATTCCTAAAGTTTGATTTATATAATTTTTTATTAAAAGGGATATGTCTGTATTTTGGAAATTAATACTTTCAGAATTTGAGCATCCTGTGGAAGCTGTACAAGCTATTTCCATGTTCCACAATCAAACTTACTATGATCGTAAAATGAGTGTTCGAATGGACCGTGTTACTGAGAAACAGGAATCTTCAACCACAAAATTGCCACCTGGGTTAAAAAGCCTTGGAATGGGACTTGGTGTAAATGGATCTGCACTAACAGATGTTGCCAGTAGGTTTTTTTTTATTTATTTTGGTGAAATATATTAAGCAAAATGGTGTCAAATTCAAATATAGAGGAGTCCTTTATTTCTACATTTCACTTGGCTTTTTATTCCATTGTATAGGAAAAAATGCCCAATGTTGGTTGAAATGGTGTACAAATAAAGGCTTCACATTTCTTTTTCATCAGTAGTTTATATATATATTGCCATCATTTCCAACTAGGCAAATTGGCAATATGAGTTAGAAGTTTTATACATGACTTGCTGTGTAGGTAATATTGTATCATGGCCTTTTCCAGGAAGGGGGGGGGGTTCCTAGTTTTCTGTTAAGGGGTCTCTGATTTAATGAATTGAAGTATCCTTCCCTTCCTTGGATCAAGCCTAATTTCCTCCAATCCTGAGGTGCTATAAGTTCCTCCTCCCTCTTTTCAGTTTTAGCACTTTCCAGTGAATGTAATTTAAGTGAAATGTGAAAAACTTGTACATTGTTGTGCTGGCACTAGCAATTATTTTTTGTGCCTGTATGGATTTTGGTTTGTCATCAGTACAATTAAATTAGTACATTGATTAAGGAGTATCCATGAGGGGTGAGCTGATAAATTGTGTGATTACTCATGATAAGGTTAATACAGAATGAGTTCATTTATAGCGAGCATGTGTTATTCAGTAGTTGATAAATAATGGATGTCTCAGGAGTTGCAAGAAAAGTGTGAAGGTGAGAGGAGCTAGAACACCCTGCATGCATATGCAAGTTTATTAGATTGGAATGAGTGTCGACTAACTGATTTTTGGGATTTTATTTGCTGTTGGAGTGCAAGATAACATGACGTCCTGTTTGGGAAGTTCATTAGCCGGATTTGAATTCAGAGGTGGGACATATTGTTTGCTCTCTAAAGGATAGGTGAAGATATTGCAGTTTGAAGGATAATTTACATTGTAATGCGTTTCTTGTAGGGCAGCAATAGAACAAGTGAGGCTGAATGAATTTCCTTTGGGTTCTCCTACAATGATGGGAAATGGCCAGTTAAACAAAGTAATGAATGCTTTTTATTTTCTTAACACTGGCTGTCTCCTACTGTGATGGGGTGACCCAAGAAATGGAAAAACACTTTCACCATTGCTTGCTTCCACTGGCATCCCAACATTACGGCTCAGTTACTCCTCCAACTTGTAATATTAACTCGCCTTCCTAGTACAGGCACTATACTTTCTACCTTCAGAGCTCAAGTCCCTGAATATCTTCATTAATGTTACCTTGCTCTCACTCCAGTAGCATGTCAAGTCTTATAAACCACTTGCTTTCACTCCTGTCTGATATGCTCATACGCGTGTTTACCCCTTCCTTCCAACCTTTCCTAGGAAGACCCCTATCCATTTTTCTCTCCACTACAGACTTATACATACTCTCAAGTTATCCCATTTTGCTCCCTCTCAATGTCCAAACATCCTCAATAACCACTCCTCAGCCCTCTGGATAATACTTTGGTATCCCTGCTTCTCGTAATCTCCAGATGCGAATTCTCTGCATAATGTTCACACCACACGTTGGCCTCAGGCACAACATCAGTGTTTCCTGCCTTCTTGTTGTAACATTAATAACCCATGGTTCACATCCATATGAGAGTGTTAGTACCACTATTCTCTTATACTTTCTCGTTTTTGCCTCCATGCAGCACTCGCCTTCTTTCCCTCAGTTCTATGGCTTGCCTCATCTTTTATAGACCCATCTGCCAACAAGACCACTTGCACATAATTGAACACATTTACTTCCTCCATTCTACCTTCTTCCAATCTGATTTGAATCTGTCATTACTTAAATCATTTGTTGCCCTCTTTCACCTTGCTCTTTTTATGTTCTTTTTTAATTTCCTCCGAAATTCATCCACCAACATTTGCAACTTCTCGTCAGAATCTGTGTCATCGGCAAAAATCATTTTTAACAACTCCGATTTTTGTATTAGATTCTACATATTTTAATCTCACACCTGTCCCCAACACACTAGCATTCACTTCTGTATGTATATGTATGCATGCAAGGGCTAGTAACCCCTTTTGCTATGTAAACTACTAAATTTAAAAAGAGAAACTTTTGATTTTCTTTATGGACCACCCTGCCTCGGTGGGATACGGCCGGTTTGTTGAAAGAAAAAAAGAAAAAATAATCTTTTATTAGTTTCAACAATGATATGCCTATTGGAAAATTTTTTGATTGTAGGCCACTTGATAAGGATATTATACTGATCATTTGTAAAAAGTTTTTTCTTTTTCTTTTGCAGCTCTACCTAATTCTGTTGCTACTGGTGTCACGGCAATGCCGGCTGTTGGTGCTATGGCATCAAATATGGGCAACATGGGTGGGCAAGGCATGGGCATGATGGGAACTGGAATGGGTGCTGGAATGGGAGCTGGAATGGGGGCTGGAATGGGAACAGGTATGGGAACAGGTATGGGGACTGGAATGGGGACTGGAATGGGAACTGGAATGGGAGCTGGAATGGGAGGTGGCATGGGCAATATGGGAGCTGGAATGGGAAACATGGGTGCTGGCATGGGAAACATGGGTGCTGGCATGGGAACTGGAATGGGAGCTGGTATGGGAGCTGGAATGAATGCCATGGGTAATGGCTTGGGTTCTTCATTGATGGGTGGAATAGGAGGTACTGGCATGGGAACCTCCAACAGCTTGGTGTCTAATTTGCCTGGGGGTGTAGGTTCTGGTATTGGTGGTAGCAGTGGATTAGTGAGTTCGAGTATGAGCCGTGGAAATTTAGGTAGCAGTGGAGGATATGGGTTGTCTCGGGACTATAACCATGGTACTGGCACCAGTGCTACTAACAGCAATTACTCCGGAGGATACAGGAACATCATTCAACTGAGTAATGTAAGTAATTTATAGTCGTGTTGTATTTCAAATGAAATAGGATAGACTAGATGTGAATGTGAACTGTTAATGTTGGATGGAGATACTATTTACTGTAGCATGTGTCAAACTGTTTACTATTTTTTAAACCCATTTTGATTATATTAGATTTTTTATCTTGTTTTCTTCTTTGGGTTGCCCTGCATTGGTGGCAGATGCCTGTTGAGTTAACCCTTAAACTGTCCAAATGTAAATCTATGTTTGCACGCGTAGCACTCCATTCTTGATATTCTCCATATGAAAGAATGTAAAAAAAAAGGTAGACCTGCGTTTGGACAGTTTAAGGGGTTTTTTTTTTTTTTTTACTTGTTTCTGCACAGTCAGTTGCTGAAGTACAATAGTCTCCATACACATTTGTAACATAAAATTTTCTGGAGATATGGTATCTTTGTAAATTCTTTTAATTTGACTAAATGATTTTGTTTTTTGAAGGATCATTAGGAAGATATTAGGTGTATACAACTTTCTCTGTCACAATCCCCAAAATTAAAAGTGCTGACAGTATTGTGATTTTTCAGAAAAAATATTGTCTTCTGAAAGGGTAGAGAATCATTTTCTGAAGGCAATGACTCAAAAAATCTGTAATTTGGTAAAACATGGGAATTACATGGGTACAAAGGTTGCAGTCTTGGTGTAATTTATGTATGATTTTGCCCACTTTTCAGTCGTGTTCCATTGTTCAGTTTTTACTGACTCCAAGTTATTTCACTAGTATGCTTTTCATCCTATTAATTCAGTGCAAGACATCATCTGTTTAGCTATCAGGCCTACCCACTGAAGCAGACAAAATTTGGTAGCTTTGTTAGTTTTACGCAAAATATAACAGATTCCAATTTAAATCTGAGGTCAACATGAACACCAAGCACTCCGGCTACTAAAGCAGTCTTTCCTCTGTTCATTAATCAGGTTCCCAGGCCTTTCCAAGATAACTTCTACTCTCTATTTTAAATAGTTATATGCCATTTCTTGGATAATAAAATATAAGAAGCTAAAATCTTCTAAAAGCCCATTAAGCAGATGGGGAAGCCACTATCCTTCCTCAGGAAAATCTTCAAAAAGTCAAATATTTCTGCCACTTTAAGGCCTATTTCAAGCTAATTCTGGTCTGAAAGTGACCAAAATCAACTCTATTTCACTTGTATTTCATTGTATCAATTGATTCCAAGAAACAGCAATCAAACCATGAAAACTATCCTAGAAAACACCTCAGTCACTTATTAAACCACACACAAGGTTAGAGGTTTGCTTTTCCCATTAACCCTTTCAGCGTCAAGACCCTTATTCTCAAACTTGCTCTCAGGGTTGAAGAATAATAAAAAAAAAATACAAACGTATGAATTTGATGGAAAACTTAGGAAATTATGCTCTTCCAAAGTTAGCAGCTTTGGCAATATTTACGCATTGGTGATTTCACCCACTTTGCTCTATTTTCGACCAGTTCCATTGTTCCAGTTCATCAAACTCATAGCTATTTTGCTAGTATTCCTTCTATTCAGTTGATTGAATACAAGAAACTGCACATTTACCTATTTCAACTATACAATAAAGTGGTCAGAAATTGGTAATTTGGCAAATTTCATACAAAGTTCTACAATTGCCAGTTTGAAAATAAGGTTCAGAATAATCAATGTAGACATTCTTGGCACTAAAAAACATTTCCTCTGTTTATTAGTCATATCTCCAGGCCCCTCTTATATTACACTTGCTTTTCATTTTTAATTTTTATTCACAAAAAAAAATAGAAGATATACTTTTATGCAGACTGCTGTATTATTGTAATAACTGTATAATGTCAGTGCATTCCTAAATGCGTATTAGACTAGTCAGTTGGACACGTATTGTGTACTCTAGAATATTGGCAAAAATCGAACATTTCTGCTACTTTGAGCTCAGTTTTAAGCTACTTTCAGTCCTGAAAGTGATCCAGATCATCTCTATTTCTGTAACATATCTTTCATTCTATCAAATAAGACCAAGAATCTGAGAATACAACCATACAAAAATACATTGCAAATTCCCGGTTTTATACCAAAAACAGTCACATACACTGCTTCCTGCAGAATTTTTTTTATATGGTACACACTACATAGAACCATTCTATCATATCTAGGCCTGAATTACTGTCCACAGTTTATCAGAGTGAGGTGATCCCATGGCGTCATAATATGGTAGTGATACTGGCTTTGCAGCCGTGATAAAATGGGGCTGACACCGAAAGGGTTAAGCACAGACCGACTGATTCTCTTATGTGTGGCCCAAGATTTATCACTCAGCGTATTGGAAGGTGTTGTGTTCAAAAAGTAGCCCATGGACTGGGCTGCAGGGACATAGACCCCTGAAACACCTTCCGGGTAAACTCTAATCAGTAATGAAAGCTATGACACTTGCAACATCTGGATATCTTTATTGTAGACGTTTCACCATCCAGTGGCTTTATCAATACATATTCTAGGATATAATTAGAAGTCAGAATTATATACAAAATATAAGGTAATCAGTCCCTCAGCCTTGGAGTTAGTGTTCACAGCATCGTGGTGGTGTTGAATCTGGAGCAAAGGCAAGGAGACTTGCAGTTATATAGGTGTCAGTGGATAGGGACGTGTAGCAGACGAGGGCATAGTCACTGGTAGGCAGGATTCCCCAGTGGAAGTAGGTCCTACCCAAAGGGATGGGTTAGTTGTAGTAGCCGTGAAGAAGGTCTTGTAGATGTCCTCTGAACCAAGATTCCATGACCTTCTTCAAGACCTTTTCCTTGCTCCATGATCTTTATCATCTCTTCTTAGATCTGTGTATGGTACCTACCTTTACTACCTCACTTTCTAGACTATTTCACTTCATAACAACTCTGTGGTTGAAGAAATACTTCCTAACATCCCTGTGACTCATCTGAGTCTTCAACTTTCAATTGTTACATCTTGTTGCTGTGTCCTGTCTCTGGAACATCCTGTCTGTGTCCATGTTGTCAATTCCTCTCAGTATTTTGTGTTATCATGTACCCCCATATCCCTTCTGTCCTCCAGTTTCGTCAGGTCGAGTTTGTTTTTTTGTGTATGTATGTGTGTGTGTGTGTGTGTGTCTGTCTGTCTCTGTCTGTCTGTCTGTCTGTCTGTCAGATAGATCTAGACCAGTATGTTAATAAAATGCATATTCTTTCATGGGTATTTGTTAATGCATTGTATTTCCTCTATACAGCTACCGATGGACTACACATGGCAATCACTTCGTGACCTGTGCCGTGAATTTGGAGACATAAGATTTGCAGAAATTAGATCGAAGGGAACTGGAACAGTTAGATTCCAGACAGAGGCTGATGCTCGCAGAGCAGTTGGTATCCTTTTAAAATAGTTATAATGAAAGGGCTTCAAGGAAGAATATTTGGATATCTTTTTGAAAGTCATTTGAATATTCCACTTCCTTCACCGCCCCATCTTTTCATTCTTTTTTACCAATAGGTTTATTTATTTATAGGTAGTAGGTTGGTAGACAGCAACCACCCAGGGAGGTACTACCATCCTGCCAAGTGAATGTAAAACAAAAGCCTGTATTTGTTTTACATGATGGTAGGATTGCTGGTGTTTTTTTGTCTGTCTCATAAATATGCAAGATTACAGGAATGTCTTGCTGCTTCTACTTACACTTAGGTCACACTACACATACATGTACATGTTTATTTATACACACTCATCTGAGTTTTCTTTGATTTTATCTTAATAGTTCTTGGTCTTATTACTTTTCCTTTTATATCCATGGGGAAGTGGAATAAGAATCTTTCCTCCGTAAGCCTTGCGTGTTGTAAAAGTCAACTAAAATGCCGGGAACAATGGGCTAGTAACCCCTTTTCCTGTAAAGATTACTAAAAAGAATAAGAAAAAGAAAATTGTCAAAGTGGGAAGTCTGAATGTGCTTGGATGTTGTGCAAATGATAAGAAAGAGATGATTGTGGATGTTATGAATGAGAAGAAGCTGGATGTCCTGGCTTTAAGTGAAACAAAGCTGAAGGGGGTGGGAGAGTTTCAGTGGAGAGGAATAATTGGGATTAGGTCAGGGGTTTCAAATAGAGTTAGAGCTAAAGGAGGAGTAGCAATAATGTTGAAGGATAAGGTATGGCAAGAAAAGAGGGACTATAAATGTATTAATTCAAGGATTATGTGGAGTAAAATAAAGGTTGGATGTGAAAAGTGGGTTATAGTAAGTGTATATGGACCTGGAGAAGAGAGAAGTGTAGAGGAGAGAGAGAGATTTTGGGGAATGTTGAGTAAATGCGTGGGGAGTTTTGAACCAAGTGTTAGAGTACTTGTGGTTGGGGATTTCAATGCTAAAGTGGGTAAAAATGTTGTGGAGGTAGTAGTAGGTAAATTTGGGATGCCAGGGGTAAATGTAAATGGGGAGCCTTTAATTGAGCTATGTAGAAAGAAATTTGGTAATAAGTAATACATATTTTATGAAAAATAGGATAAATAAATATACAAGGTATGATGTAGCATGTAATGAAAGTAGTTTGTTAGATTATGTATTTGTGGATAAAAGGTTAATGGGTAGGCTCCAGGATGTACATGTTTATAGAGGGGCAACTGATATATCGGATCATTATTTAGTTGTAGTTACAGTTAGAGTAAGAGCTAGATGGGACAAGAGGAAGGTGGCAACAAGCAGGAAGGAAGTGAAAGTGGATAAACTAAGGAAGGAGGAAGTTCGGGTGAGATACAAGCGGTTATTATTGAAAGAATTAGAAGTTAGACAGAATGTAGGATTCTGGATGAGCAAGGAGGTTTCAGAGTGGGTAGGGGATGTGTAGATCAAGTGTTTACATTGAAGCATATATGTGAACAGTATTTAGATAAAGGTTGGGAAGTTTTTATTGCATTTATGGATTTAGAAAAGTCATAAGATAGAGTGGATAGGGAAGCAATATGGCAGATGTTGCAAGTATATGGAATAGGTGGTATGTTACTAAATGCTGTAAAGAGTTTTTATGAGGATAGTGAGGCTCAGGTTAGGGTGTGTAGAAGAGAGGGAGACTTCACAGTAAAAGTAGGTCTTAGACAGGGATGTGTAATGTCACCATGGTTGTTTAATATATTTATAGATGGGATTGTAAAAGAAGTAAATGCTAGGGTGTTCGGGAGAGGGGTGGGATTAAATTATGGGGAATCAAATACAAAATGGGAATTGACACAGTTACTTTTTGCTGATGATACTGTGCTTATGGGAGATGAAAGAAAAATTGCAAAGGTTAGTGGATGAGTTTGGGAGTGTGTGTGAAGGTAGAAAGTTGAGAGTGAACATAGAAAAGAGTAAGGTGATGATGGTATCAAATGATTTAGATAAAGAAAAATTGGATATCAAATTGGGGAGGAGGAGTATGGAAGAAGTAAATGTTTTCAGATACTTGGGAGTTGACGTGTTGGCGGATGGATTTATGAAGGACGAGGTTAATCATAGAATTGATTAAGGAAAAAGGTGAGTGGTGCGTTTAGGTATATGTGGAGTCAAAAAACTTTATCTATGGAGGCAAAGAAGGGAATGTATGAAAGTATAGTAGTACCAACACTCTTATATGGTTGTGAAGCTTGGGTTGTAAATGCAGCAGCGAGGAGACGGTTGGAGGCAGTGGAGATGTCCTGTCTAAGGGCAATGTGTGGTGTAAATATTATGCAGAAAATTCGGAGTGTGGAAATTAGGAGAAGGTGTGGAGTTCATAAAAGTATTAGTCAAGAGGGCTGAAGAGGGGTTGTTGAGGTGGTTTGGTTAGGTTCCAGGCTACTGGCGTAAAGTGGAACACCCTTTTTTTTCCCCGTCATAAATGTATACAAATACTAAATAACGAGGTTACACTAACATATATTAAGTTTGCAATAGAACTAGGCATCAAAAAACAATAAAAAAGTACAATACACACATAGTGCACTCATTACTTACCTTAAAATATTTGTAGTCTTAATCTAGGGTGAGATGAGTAGTATTTTTTTTTTTTTAACAAGTCGGCTGTCTCCCACCGAGGCAGGGTGACCCAAAAAAGAAAGAAAATCCCCAAAAAAGAAAATACTTTCATCATCATTCAACACTTTCACCACACTTACACATTATCTCTGCTTTTGCAGAGGTGCTCAGGATACAACAGTTTAGAAGTAGTTTAGAGTAGTATTTATTGTAAGAAATTAAGTGTGGTATGTATGGCAGTCAGCTGGGCTACCATACCAGGCCTCCCTACCTACACATAATATTCTATTACATTTAAGCATCCCAGAGCGATAAAATGCATATACAGTGGACCCCCGGTTAACGATATTTTTTCTCTCCAGAAGTATGTTCAGGTGCCAGTACTGACCGAATTTGTTCCCATAAGAAATATTGTGAAGTAGATTAGTCCATTTCAGACCCCCAAACATACACGTACAAACGCACTTACATAATTTGTCACATTCGGAGGTAATCGTTATGCGGGGGTCCACTGTACAGTTCACTCATTACTTACCTTAAAATATTTGTAGTCTTAATCTAGGGTGAGATGAGTAGTATTTATTGTAAGAAATTAAGTGTGGTATGTATGGTAGTCAGCCGGGCAACCATACCAGGCCACCCCACCTACACAATATTCTATTACATTTATTCATCCGAGAGCGATAAAAATGCATATACAGTTCACTCATTACTTAAAATATTTTTAGTCTTAATGTAGGGTCGGGGGTGAGTAAACGAGATGAAACGAATAAATGAGAGAGAGAGAGAAAGAGTACGTGCAGGAAGACAGGCGCAGAGTTATGTGAACAAACCAGGCAAACGTAAGTTTTGTAAACAAACAAAATGTACACGTCTGGTTAGTGTACAAGTTACATTGTGTACAAGTTGTCTTTATATTGATACTATAGAATAAATAAAGAAGAGCACTCCCATTCTCATGTAACACCATTTTTAGAAGAAATGACACTCTGAGTGAAGGCAATGGAAATAAGTCACTCTGACTTTTTTGGGTTATCCTAGGTTCTCTACACATATGCTGTTATGTATGATAATCTATGTAACTGTATTTGTGTATACCTGAATAAACCTACATACATACATATTTTCATATAGTCGGACTTGAGTCCTGGAAATGGGAAGTACAATGCCTGCACTTTAAAGGAGGGGTTTGGGATATTGGCAGTTTGGAGGGATATGTTGTGTATCTTTATACATATATGCTTCTAAACTTTTGTATTTTGAGCACCTCTGCAAAAACAGTGATAATGTATGAGTGTGGTGGAAGTGTTGAATGATGATGAAAGTATTTTCTTTTTGGGGATTTTCTTTCTTTTTTGGGTCACCCTGCCTCGGTGGGAGACGGCCGACTTGTTGAAGAAGAAAAAAAAAACATACAAAAGGAATAATTTTCTTCAGTTAACCCCAGTAACACATTTTCTCTTATGTTAGACTAGAGAGAATGTTATTCTTGCCGTCGATTGTACAAGTTATCTGGCTACCGCATCTCATATTCATGTTTATTCATTCTATTGTGGGGTGTATTTATCTTTTTGTTATGTATCGTGTTTATTACACAAATAACCCGCACATAAAAGAGAGGAGCTTACGACGACGTTTCGGTCCGACTTGGACCATTGACTTTGTCAATGGTCCAAGTCGGACCGAAACGTCGTCGTAAGCTTCTCTCTTTTATGTGCGGGTTATTTGTGTATTGTTCCAGTCACGGTATTGTGCCTTTTTGTTATTTATCGTGTTTATTATATAATTTTGAAAAAAAATATGGATGGGTTAATGAAAATGTGTACATTAACGTAATATACGACATTTAATGAGACTCGGTGATTATTATTATTATAATCATTTCTAATATGGTGCCACTCGTGCAAGTCGTCTGGCTACCACATCTCATATTTATGTTTATTTATTCTACTGTGGGGTGTATTTATCATCTTTATATGTTATGCATCGTGTTTATTATATAATTTTGAAAAAATTTCATAGATCGATTAATGAAAATGTGTTTATTAACGTAATATACGACATTTAAATGAGACTCGGTGATCATTATTAATATGACGTCTCGAGACATAAGAGACGCTTACTGATTTTAATGTGTACCTGCACACCAGCACAGTATTTAAGCTTATTTAGGTACAGGTATACATAAGTATAATTATCAGAGAATGTATAAAATAACTTTTAAAAACACTTGAAATTTTGGAGTTTCCAGACATAGAGAGACTTAGTGCTTACGGATCTCACAGAGAATGTAAACAAACTAGGTGGCCGCGGTGACCGTATTAGAAAATCAGGTGGGGGGGGGAGCTGTATAGCGAGTTTTGGTGAAAATTTGAAATGACCGTATTAGCGGGGCTCTACTGTACTTGGCAGTTGACGTGTCGGCGGATGGATTTAAGAAGGATAAGGTTATTCATAGAATTGATGAGGGAAAAAAGGTGAGTGGTGCGTTGAGGTATATGTGGAGACAAAAACATTATCTATGGATGCAAAGAAGGGAATGTTTGAAAGTATAGTAGTACCAACACTCTTACATGGGTGTGAAGCTTGGGTTGTGAATGCAGCAGCGAGGAGACGGTTGGAGGCAGTGGAGATGTTCTGTCTAAGGGCAATGTGTGGTGTAAATATTATGCAGAAAATTCGGAGTGTGGAAATTAGGAGAAGGTGTGGAGTTAATAAAAGTACTAGAGGGCTGAAGAGGGGTTGTTGAAGTGGTTTGATCATTTAGAGAGACTGGATCAAAGTAGAATGACATGGAGAGCGTATAAATCTGTAGGGGAAGGAAAGCGGGGTAGGGTTCATCCTCGAAAAGGTTGGAAGGAAGGGGTGAGGGAGGTTTTGTGGGCGAGGGGCTTGGATTTCCAGCAGGCGTGCGTGAGTGTGTTAGATAGGAGTGAATGGAGACGAATGGTATTTGGGACCTGACGAACTGTTGGAGTGTGAGCAGGGTAATGTTTGGTGAACTGGTTCAGGGAAACCGGTTATTTTTATATAGCTGGACTTGAGTCCTGCACTCTAAAGGAGGGGTTCGGGATATTGGCAGTTTGGAGGGATACGTTCTGTATCTTTATACGTATATGTTTCTAAATTGTTGTATTCCATGCACCTTTGCAAAAACAGTGATTGTGTGAGTGCAGTGAAAGTGTTGAATGATGAAAGTATTTTCTTTTTGGGGATTTTCTTTTTTTTTTGGGTCACCCTGCCTCATTGGGAGACTGCCGACTTGTTAAAAAAAAAGTGTGTGGGGACATGGAAAAAAAAAAAGGTTGGTTTTGCTACAAAAAAAAGCATCGTTGTCCACGACAGTGAGTGTCTTGGCGAGAATCTCTGCATACCTTCCTCATTCTGGACAGATTGTGCAACACAGGAGACATTGCTGCAGCTGAGCTGTGACGTAACAGGGTACTGTGTGCTCTGGATCGGTGAAGCAGTCATCGTAATAGTCGCTGCAGGGTTCACTCATCCTTGGGCACAACCTGCTGCTGCCCTGGAGTGAGGCATCGTCAGTAGTTGGCAACTGGTCACGACTTCTTCTTGCAAGTGACTCAGGAGGACATTTCTCGAATGGTACTGTCGTTGGGGCTGTCAATGCCGGGAAGTGTGGAGTGAGTCCTGGTAGGGACGACTTAGGTGAAAGTCTCGATGGGAATCGTAGCAGGCGTGACTCAGCAGAACGTCTAGGAGTGGTGAACGTAAAGAGCTTTCTGTACAAGGGGCTCAGACACTCGTAACTGGTGTGCGAACTAACTAATGTCAGCTGTCAACGGTCACACTGGGTGACAAGTAACATGGTGCTACAGTGGTGGGCTCAAGACATGCTGTGGTCTACACACACACAGCTGGGCACAGACCACTTAATCAAGGACACCCGTAAAACTTGCACACACCTACTGCACACATGTGGTTCAACATGGTTCGCACTAGCAAATGATGCTTTTCTGTGCAATAATTGACACTAAGCCTTACACAAACGTGAGAACACTGCCTGAGAGAAAGTTGCAAGTGAACATAGAAAAGAGTAGGGTGATGAGGGTATCAAATTATTTAAAGAAAAGTTGGATATCAAATTGGGGAGGAGGGATATGGAAAAAGTGAATGATTTCAGATATTTGGGAGTTGACGTGTCAGCGGATGGATTTATGAAGGATGAGGTTAATCATAGAACTGATGAAGGAAAAAAGGTGAGTGGTGCATTGAGGTACATGTGGAGGCAAAAAATGTTAACTATGGAGGCAAAGAAGGGAATGTATGAAAGTATAGTAGTAGTTCCAGGACTCTTACATGGGTGTGAAGCTTGGGTTGTAAATACTGCAGCAAGGAGGCGGTTGGAGGCAGTGGAGATGTCCTGTCTAAGGGCAATGTGTGGTGTAAATATTATGCAGAAAATTTGGAGTGTGGAAATTAGGAGAAGGTGTGGAGTTAATAAAAGTGTGAGTCAGAGGGCTGAAGAGGGTTTGTTGAGGTGGTTTGGTCATTTAGAGAGAATGGATCAAAGTAGAATGACATGGAGAGCATATAAATCTGTAGGGGAAGGAATGCAGGGTTGGGGTCGTCCTCGAAAAGGTTGGAGGGAGGGGGTAAAGGAGGTGTTGTGGGCGGGGGGTTTGGACTTCCAGCAAGCGTGCGTGAGCGTGTTAGATAGGAGTGAATGGAGATGAATGGTATTTGGGACCTGACGAGCTGTTGGAGTATGAGCAGGGTAATATTTAGTGAAGGAATTCAGGGAAACCGGTTATTTTATATAACCGGACTTAAGTCCTGGAACTGGGAAGTACAGTGCCTGCACTCGAAAGGAGAGGTTTTGGATATTGGCAGTTTGGAGGGATGTATTGTGTTTTTTTATATGTATATACTTCTAAACTGTTGTGTTCTGGGCACCTCTGCAAAAATAGTGATTATGTGTGAGTGAGGTGAAAGTGTTGAATGATGATTAAAGTGTTTTCTTTTTGGGGATTTTCTTTCTTTTTGGGTCACCCTGCCTCGGTGGGAGACGGCCGATTTGTTGAAAAAAAAAAAATGCTTCTAAACCGTTGTATCTGTGTGCCTCTGCAAAAGCAGAGATTATGTATGAGTGAGGTGTAAGTGTTGAATGATGATGAAAGTGTTTTCTTTTTGGGGATTTTCTTTTTGGGCCACCTTGCTTAGGTGGGAGATGGCCGGCTTGTTGAAAAAAAAAAAAATGCATATTTTCTCTCATACATCTTGACAATACTGAAACATTTTGCTCACTGTGAAACTGGAACACCTAATATGATATGTCGTTATGTCATGTGTGACGTTGGAGGTGGGAAGTGTGTGCAGTGCCTGCACTATTGGAGTGGTTTGGGATATTCTCTGTTCAGAGTGACATCTGAACTGTCGTTTGTGTGTGCCTCTGACTGGATAAGTATAGTTTGAATAATGGTGGGAGACAGTGGGTTATAAAAAATGTATAAAATATGTATAAAAAAAAGTAAGCTATGCATGTCGTAAGAGGTGACAAACATGTTGAGAGCAAGGGTTTAGTAACCCATTTTCCTGGTATACATTACTAAAGTTAAAAAGAGAAACTTTGTTTTCTTTTTGGGTCACCCTGCCTCGGTGGGATACAGCCAATTTGTTGAAAGAAAGAAAGATGTATAAAAAGTATCACATACAACTTTGACTACCCCTCATGAACAGTATTACCATTTCCCATGAACTGTACCAACTATTATTGCATTTTCATCTCCCCAATATGAATACCCATTCGCCCACTGTCAACCTAATCCTCTCCCCATTTTACACCACTTGTTCTTTGAAGTTTATTAATTATCTAAATTTTGTTGAAAGAGAGGACCAGGATTTATTACAAGAAAAGAACCAAAGGTAAGTGTTGAGAAGTAGGTGAGACAGTGAGTTGGATGAAAGGGGATGGTGCAAACAGCATTTTGAGACATTAAATGGTAAATGCAGGTTGGGATGTAGTATTGGAATGGTGTATATATTTTTTTTGTATGTGTGATAGAAGGGAAGGTACCTAAGGATAGCTAGAAAACAGATACATTTCATTTGTATAAGGGAAGTAGGAAATGGGCTTTTTAGACATCTGAACAGTTGAGCTGAGGTCAGAAGTATTTGCAGGTGGCATATTTGAAGAACGAAAACCCCCTCAAGGAAGGTTCCTTGGTGTTGGTGAGGGGCTCTTGATTTAGGGAATTGGATTTGTGCTCCAGTTCCCCGAATTAAGCCTGAATGCCTTCCACATCCCCCCCCCCCCAGGCGCTGTATAATCCTCTGGGTTTAGCGCTTCCCCCTTGATTATAATAATAATGAAGAACGAAAAATTGTGCATACCAGTACGTTAGACATTTCCTTGTCACCTGCATACTAGCATATTGGATACTGTTTAAGGGTTAAGAGAAATGAGTGTAAAGTATACCATTAAAGTGTACTGAATAATTAGAGAAAGGAGGGAAAACAGAAAGTAAGATTACAGAATTTTTAGGAGGACCTAGGATGGGAAGGGGGATGTGTGAATCAGATATTTGCTTTTAAAGCATATAAGTGAGTATATGTTGGCTTAGGGTATTAGCTGCTTGTTGTATTTATAGATATAGAAAAGGCATATGACAGGGTGGTTAGGGGAGGTATTGCAAATATTCAGAATAGAGTGTAAGTTCTTAAAAGATATTAAAGTGATTTTTTTTAGGAAAAGTCTTTAGACAAAGATGTGTGAGATTTCACGGTGGTGGTCGTTTAGTATATTTATAGACTGGGTTTCAAAAAGTGAAAATTTTTGGTTTAGAGACCTCAGGTAATAAGTATCACGCGAAGAGTGTTCTGGCTTTGTCAAAACAGACTTAATTTGCATTACTTTTTCAGTCTGAAGGATTTCCTTAACTAGGTTTTCAGAAATGTTGGACCGCCAACGCCTTGATGGAAGGATTCTTGATGTGGTTCTTCTGTAAATTTAAGCACCAGGAGGAAGCATTTAAAGCTGGAGCAAGAGAGTGAAATGATTCTTGTGATTAAAACAGCTCCAACCAGATGAGAGGGCTGTGACGAATGTACCAAGGAGACAGCCGATGACAACTTCCTAAGGTAATGGCTGCTTACATGGGGGCTTGTGTCATCTAAATGGCCCGTCAGTTTCTCGAGTTCGCAGTTATGGAGGATTGGATTATGCCTTGTTTGGAAAGCTTCCAAGCAGATGGTTTTGAAGACTTGACAACTTTGCTGGAGTTCATATGGATTATATATGGCATTCTAATTTAGTAGGTGTTTGTATACCTCACACCAAGTGGCAGTGTTTAATCACAATTTTCAACTCTGGAGGTGGCTGTCTTGAGATTTGCTCGATCTGGTATTGACAACCTGCAGTGATTTGGAATTGGTAATTTGCTCCCTGTAATGAATAGAAAATATTGTCGTACTAAAATATATGTGAACTGAAAGATTGTAAAGAGAATTTTCATCCCTGCTGTCATTCTTCTGTATGCATGTAATAATACTTTTTATTATTATTAGGTTATATAGTAGTTCTCATCATTTGGTCCTTTTGAGAGGATGTCTGCTTTCTACACATAGTTGTTGTAAATGTCGAAGGTTATTTGTGTTCAGTTGACAGTTGAGAGAAGTTGGAGTAGTATAATTGGATCATTGTACCTGTTTATAGATAAGATGTAATTCGCCAATAAATGGGCAATGGGCCGTCTTTGCTATTGTCTTTTCTTGTTGTCCTTTTGACTTTTTTTCTACATTTGTTCTGATATATTAAGTCTGGATTGTTCCTTTTTTTAAGGGCTGAGTTCAGGTTTTATATATTTTACTATAATGTTATTTTCTTTTTATAGTAAACATAAGTTTTGCACTATTGTGTGGGCACAACATGTCTTGTGAAAACTATGAAATTTTGGTAAATTTGGAAATTTATGGGTAATTTTCTAGCCTTTTAGTATTAAATCAGGTGAATATTATAGGTTGCAGTAATGTGTTAAAAGCATTTTTAGTGTAGCGAGTTGTACTATGTTGGTGATTAGTAACTTTCATTGATCCTGGTAGTTTTGTCTACAGCAATTCTCACAAGTAAAATTAAAAGAGGCAATGGCTTGTATCTTTTCACTATACCTATTGCTATTGAATAAAGTTAGGTGTCAATTTGTGTAATTTTTGTAATTACTTTATATTATTGATGTTGCAATTCCCATTATAATTTTATTAGTATAGGATCCTGGATTAATTTTATCAGAATATTGGTTCTGAAAATGGCTTAAATTTCTCTTTGAGTAATTTTATTCCTTATTGTTTTTTCTGATGGTAAATTAAAGGTTGACAAAAGAAGTTATCATAACCTGTGATTCTACCATCAGGAACTGAATTACAGATTTCTCATATCAAAACAAAGAAACTGAATTTTAAATTTTCTATTGTTTCCCACATATTTTGGAAAGTAATCTAGATATTCACTGAAAAGAGTACGGTACGTCATAAGACATTAGTAATACACACGTATTTCGTATTAAAAGTATATTTGGTTCAAATTTGGAAACCAACTTACGTCACTGATCCAGATATTGCTTCAGGTAATAAATAATAAAAGTACGAGATGAAATGTACATGTATGTGTTTGCTCCTGTAATTTCATATAAATAAGCAATTATTGGTATTGTACGTAGATGCAATAAATCTCAAGAGGCTGAGGATCAACTGCAACAGCTTACTGAAAAGTTTAAAAAGGCTGAGGAGCTGGTGCTCAACTAGCACACACACATGTTCTTCAGTGACCATTTTTCATTCCTGAGTCCTAGCACTAATTCTTCCATGTTCCTTAAACAAGAGACCTGGTGTTTAAAAAGGAGCATTAAAGTAGTGTTTGTCAATAAAATGACAAGCAAAAACGTGAGAAACACTGATCACAGTTATGGAAAGTCAACTTACATGATGGTGGATGTTGTATTTCCTGGGGGATAACACATAAGAAAGCAAAGGGGTAAAGAAAGTGATAGGTGTAGCACTTCCGTCACAAAACAGATTTGATGAAACTTGTAGTGTAGACTGGTGATTTCAATTGACGTAGTTGGACTTGTTATTGGAATTGATCAAATGAGCAAGTTCCACTACCAGAAATGAGAGGATACACCAAACAGAACTATCAAGCATTACATTGGCTATTGGCCATGTGAAGATTCCTGATTACATTTGATACATGGATAAGCGTCAGGATTAGATAGAGTATAACCTCAAAATATTAAGAGGTAAAATGCTTTGGAAGCCACTCTGATCTCTATGAATCAATGATGTGTGACGTTAGACAAGTGTAAGATGGGAAATGTAATACCAGTATTCAAGGGGATAAGGAGGAATCCTTGAACTGCAGACCAAAATCCCCAACTAATTTAACATTGAAATTGCTGATAGAGGTCTCCAGGAACAACATTTTTGAATGAACATAGTGTTAATTTGTCACAACACTCCTGTGTGGCTTTAGTAATTGAAGGTCATGCCATACTAGACTCCTAGTCATGTATGATAGATTAGCAAATATCTAACAGCAAAGAGTGGAGTCTATATTAGTGAAGCAAGCTACTATAAAAGGAAAGTGTTCCATTTTTTTTTTTCTGTTCAAGTGTTACCTTATCATTCGTTAGAAGAAAGAAATGTCAGGATGGTAGATGCAGTGAACTAGTTTAGTTCCACAGAGATCAGTGTTGGGCTCTGTATGGTTGTTGGTGTACATAAATCACCTCGGTACAGGAATTAAATCTTGCATATCCTATGTTCATGGCAAAATAGAGAGAAATACAAAGTGAAGATGAATAAAGGTTACATGAAGATCTTGACAGTCTTTAAGAATGGTCAGATAAATTATTATAGAAATTTAGTTAAAGCAGAGTTAAGAAGCTTAGACTTTGGGAGGGGAAAGTAACAGCAAGGATGTGTATTATGTGGAGGGGGAAGGGTTAGGATTGGAAACTTAAAAATGGCTGAAGAAAATGTGTTGTAATAACTATTGCCTAAAAATTGATGAGTATGTAGAGAGAATAACATTGGCTCAGGCTAAGTGTGCAAAAATGAGTGGCATTGAGGAACCTAACCACAGTGAAAAGGCATTTTACATGTAATCCATTTGTAAGTATGCAGTGCTGGTGTGGGACCATCAGTGTAGTAAAGTGCAAAGTGAAATTTTAGAAAGCTCAGAGAGAGTCATCAGCATTTGTGCTTGTGTTAAGGTGGATTTTTTTTTTTTTTGTCTTAACATGTCAGCCGTTTCCCACTGAGACAGGGTGATCCAAAAATATGTCTAGATGGAGATATTAAAAAAAAATAGAACCAGGGCCTTTTGCGGGCAGACATGAGGATAAGTTCGTGTAAAATGCCATAGAACATAACCAGGATAGGCAAGTATAGGCTCTTGACTAAGGCTGTAACAAAAACAATAGGTCGTAGCTGGAAATGGAATTCTTAGACAACGTTCAGGAATATTGTGGAAATGTTTTCAGAAGTGCTAAAGGAATGGAATAAGCTGAGCTGTGCACTGTAGTTTCTGAGTGGGCTGTAAAAAAAAAAAATTGAGTCCCGAGTACAGTTCAGAGAATTAATTTGATTTTAAAATTGGTTCCCTCTGCTAAAACATTGAAATACGGAGAAAAAAAAATGAAAAAAAAACGCAGGGATGTATAAAAATGGAAGGTGTCTCCCATAAATAGTGACTTCTGCAATGATTTGAACACTCATATGATTTGACTACATACATTAGTCCAGAGTAGATGGGAGAACTTCTTTAAGTTCACAACTGCAGCTTATGGATGCATATACATGCATGTTTTCTTTAGAATTTTTTTTTTCCTATTGGTATGTGTAGCAAATCTATCATTTAGGCCATCTTTGCTGTACATAACATAAGTACCTCAGTTTTTCTTGCATGTGCTCATTTGTATTAAGTGTGGTTGGCAATGACTAAAGTATTAATTGCCTCATAAATAGATTAACAATGGTTATGATTGGTTATTACTTGGGATGGAATGCTTGAGTGGATTAGTGAGCTTTCTCCACAGCTGAATATACTTTTTATTAGTCCTGCTTATGTATTTGATTCAAAAGAAGTTGTGAAGTGGCTCAGTTTGTGTTTTATGTAAGTTAGGTAGGAGTAAGAACAGGTGTGAAAGTTGTTTCCTTGTTCCAAATTGATGGAGGGAACTCAAGATTGCAGCGCAGCTCAGTACTTGTAATACGTATATCCATTAAAACTTAAACTAAGTTTTTATTTTCTTGAGTTAATTTAAGTTGCCCTAATATTATACAGTAGTACTGTACTCAAATCTGCTTAATTTCTCTTTCTTGTACAAAAATTTACTTTACGTTTCGAAATCTATTTTATTGGTTTAACTGGAGTAAAAATACTAATGCAGATTTGGAATTGAGAAAAAAGTAAAGTGTGTTAAAAACGTTAACTATTAATTATTTTATTTACCTTGGTTGACACTTCTGAATTTGACTTCGATGTTTTATAAAAAGTTGGCTGAATTAAGGTCAATCTTGTATTCTCTGAAACTTGTTCTGGTAAGTTTGAATATTGTTTTAATCCTTTATAATTTTTATTTACTTAATACAGTTTCAATTGTATAGTTCGGATATTAAATTTTTGGTAGGTTCTAACTTTGTTAGTTCACATGTAGTTTTAATTTGAAGCAAGTGTCTGCAGTATTAGTAAACATTAGATGTATTATTTTTATATAGCCGGACTTGAGTCCTGGAAATGGGAAGTACAATGCCTGCACTCTAAAGGAGGGGTTTCGGGATATTAGCAGTTTGGAGGGATATGTTGTATATATGCTTCTAAACTGTTGTGTTCTGAGCACCTCTGCAAAAACAGTGATTATGTTTGAGTGAGGTGAAGGTGTTGAATGATGAAAGTACTTTCTTTTTTGGGGATTTCTTTCTTTTTGGGTCACCCTGCCTCGGTGGGAGACGGCCGACTTGTTGAAAAAAAAAAAAAGATGTATTATCTGATGCATATTGTAAAAGAATCAAATAAAAGAAAAGATTGAAATGAAGGTAGGAATCAAGTAGTTTGCCATCTCATCTAAGGCTTTCCAGTTCTGTGACTAGAAATATGGAGAGTAAAACCCCAGTATCCACTGATTCAATATCCACAGTTTACAGTGGCTCAAAAATACCTCTTAATTTTGCATATTAATGGCCCCAAAGTGCAAAAGTAGAGAGGCTGGAAGTTCTTCAAAGAAGCCATAAAGTGCTTCCCATCAGTGAAAAATTATAATTCTCCACTTATTGCACATAATTTATCAATTAAACTTTATAATAGGAATGTATAGGACTTGCATATAGGGGTTGCTACTATCCATGGCTTGGGTATCTGCGGCAAGTATACTTGGAACACACCTCCCTTAGGATACTAGGGTCCTACTGTACCTCCTTGTTTTTACTACCAGGTAAGGAACTGGCTGAGAGAATGATTACTGATTATGCATTCAGAGGTAGCTTTGCAGTATCTAGAGGAAGTTCCCATCAGATAATGCCGTTTTTTTTTATTGTAGATTGCAACAGGTTTTTCTAAATTGTTGCTGGTGCATCTGTAGGTAATTCATTCAACCTGATTTGGATCAGGGGTGTTCATTTCTCTATTTTTTTTTTTTCTGAATATAAACACCATCTCATTTTGACTACATGACTTTTTTTTTTTTTTCCTGTGTTTTCACTGC